CGTTCCCGCACTCTACTCCATGTCCCGAGGTTATATGTATATATAATTATAGTTGACATACAGTATTATTCAACATCAGTTTCAGAAATACAATGCGGTCCTTCCTTCACAGGCAACTCCAGCCCCAGCCCCAGCCCAGTCCCTCAATAGTCATGCTATGAAATTTCATCAAGGCCTTTTGAAAAAGCTACGGGTCAGGGGCCCAGTTGTATGACTTGGGTAAAGCACTTAATTTCTGAAGCCCTCAATTTTCCAATCTGTTAAGGAAAGATGTAGAAGACATGATAAAGGTTCCTTCAAACTTGAAAAAGAATCCAAATGCTAGAAGAAAGTGGGGAGAAAAAGAGACACAATTAGCTTATGTCTTTGGAGCCATTATATAAGCTGACCCCTTCCACTTTCCCTCTCTCCCTGAGCTCATCTCTGTCATCAAAAGCCCAGAGCCTTCCTATTTCTCTAGCAAAACATACTATCAAGAAGGAATTTAGTGTCAGTTACTGGCCTACACTATAAAGTCCTTGCGATCAGAGACAATCCTTGTGTTCGCAAGGTCTGGAACCTGGTTCTAATCAGGCATCTTTTAATTTAAAAGCTTATCTCTAAATAAAATGACAGATTTCATCTAATAAAGAAATTATAAGAGAAGCGGGGAATAGAGGATATGTTTTGCAGAGCATCCTTTCAGTATCCCTGAAAATTGGTTGACTTTTTTTTTTTTGGTCTACCATGAAGCAGGTTAGAGGGCTGGAAACAGATCTAGGGAGAGGAACTCATGGGAGAATGTGAGGGCTCGCCCTACTTTTATCAGTCAGGATCCTGGCAGGGAAGAGAAAGTCACACTCAACTGGGGGTGAGTTTAACAAAGGACTATTTAAGGGACTCTATCAGTGGATAATCCAGTATTCTGAGCACAGCAGAGAGCTGTTACCACTCTTAAACCTGAAAAGGCAATAGCACAGGCTGCCTGACAGGAGTTGTAGCCTTCAGCAGAGGAAGCCAACCCACAATGCCTGGACAGATAGGGAGCTGGGGTAATAAAAACCCTGATATCATTTTCTTCCTGCCCATCTTGCACTTACTGGGGGCCTCACATTGGCCAAAACCATCTAGAAGCCAAAGGGCAAGGGAGCCCATCAGTAAAAGTCAGCCTGTGGCAACAAAGCATGTTAGAAAAAGAGCAAGAAGTAGACCTGAACCGGCAAATGGAAAAGATCCAGTCCACTACTCAAACAGTTTGTTGACAAGCATGACAATGTCCATGCAAGCTAGACCCAGAAAAGCCCAGTTCTGACCCCTGTTCCACAAAATCCTGTCTTTATCTCCGGTCTCCACAGATCTGACCCTGTTAGAATAAGATCAGGAGTCCTCATGCCTAGGAGATTAATGTTTCTTTCGAAGCCACAAAGAAGCACTTCTCCCATGTTTGAGCTTTGCCTGCGGTGGGAGGTATTGTACTTTAAAGCCTTGGTG